CGGCAACCACATGGTGGCTCACAACCATCTGTAAAGAGGTCTGGTGCCCTCTTCCGGCCTGCAGGCATACACACAGACAGAATATTGTATGCATAATAAATAAATAAAAATAAAAAAAAAGAATGTTTAAAAAAAAAAAAAGAATATGTGGGGCATGGCAGAGCAGGACAGATGCCTGGCCTCTTCTGGCCTCTGCAGGAGTACACAGACACATGCAACACACACACACACACACACACACACACACACACGCACACGCACACACGTGCACAGAGATAAATAAATCCCTAGACGGTAAGCGTGAGCAAACAGGGGAGGCCTGGCCTCTGCTTCCGTGGGGCAATCGATGGCGGTGTCACTTGCCAGAACTTCAAGCTTGAAGTCATCCATCACATATTTCCAGTATGGAGAGGACTTGATGCTGAAGGGGTCAAAGCTCAAGCTTTCCATTGGGGTGACCAAACTGTCTACCCTGCAAAGGACATCGTCGATCCGCTTGGGATCCCCCGTCACAGCCTTGAGCTCTGGACCAAATATGTTGTAAAATTCCTCCAAGACCTAGGGGTAGGACAGAATGGAAGGGGGCAAAGCGTCCTTTGGTTTACTCTGACCTTTCTAAGCATAAATAGCATTTCGAGATTAGCCTGAAGGCAACCTTCCCATCTGAGACCTTTCGTGCTATATCCTTGCAGCAGAATAAGATTCAGAGGCCCTGGGGCCTGGAGAGATGGCTCAGTGGTTAAGAGCACTGGCCGCACTTACAGAGGACCTGGATTCCATTCCCAGCACCCACATGGCAGCTCACACCCCTCTGTGGATGCTCCCCTGTGAGCCGGCCACTCTGACTAAACATGACATCATACAAAAGTAACAGAGAGAAGGGGAGCCAGAGTTCCTGTAGCCTGAGAGGAGAGGGGGGCTGGTGAGATGCAAAGTAAAAACAGCTGAGCTTGGCGCACGAGTCTCTGCTATTCTGACAATGTTGAAATGAGGATGCACCTGCCGGACGGTGGTGGCGCACGCCTTTAATCCCAGCACTCGGAAGAGAGAGGCAGGTGGATCTCTGTGAGTTCGAGGCCAGCCTGGTCTACAGAGCGAGTTCCAGGATAGCCAGAAAAACCCTGTCTTGAAAAACAACATCAACAAAAAAGCTTATGTATCATTCTAGTGACTCCATATTAGAATAAAGGGATTTATCTATTTATTTTGAGACAAGGTCTCATTATGTAACTCTGGCTGGCCTGGAACTCTCCAGGTAGACCAGGCTGGACTCAGGCTCACAGAGATCCACCTGCCTCTGCCCTTCCTGTGCAAGGCTGAAAGGCGAGCACCACCACCCTCATCAATTCTGGGTTCCATCCCTCCCACCACATAAACCAGTTGGGTATATGGGTATAACTGTAATTCCAACACTTGGAAGGTGGAGGCAGGAGGGTCAGAAGTTCAAGGTCTTCAATGGCGAAGAGAGTTTGACGCTAGCCTGGGCTACATGAGACCCTGTCTAAAACATAATAATAAGGATTAAAGGAGAACAATAAAATGTTCAGAAAGAACTTTAAAGTCGCATGCTGCTGTTATGACAAGGTGAAGAAGGATGTGGGAAGAGATGGTGTCCTGTTTCCGTTGTCTTTCCTGCAATGTCCCATTTTGTCATGCGTGGGCATGTATATGCCCGTATGCGTGCATGTGCAACTAGATGCATGTATGTGTGTGTGTGTCTGTGCACGCGCGCGTGTGTACATAACCAGAGGTGGATGTCAAGTGTCTTCCTCACCCACCTCTCTTTTCTTTGAGTCTCTCACTGAACCTGGGACTCTAGGATTCAGCAAGCCTGGTGGCCATGGAACCCCAGGGACCCACCTCCCCAGCACTAGAGTTACCGCAGGCTCAGCTTAGGCCCTGATGCGGGGGCTGGGGATCTGAACTCAGATCCTCACGCTTGCTCAACCCGTGCTTTGCTGACTGAGCTGTCTCCCCAGACTGTGGAGATGTGTTCCTGCCCTGGTTTTGCTCTGTTAATTTTGTTTCCCCAGCAATGAGCGTGAGTTCAGGCACACGGTGGGCTCACCGTGAGTGTGCAAAGTGAATGAGACGGTGGATCACTGTAGTGATATTTCATTTGTATTTTAATAAACAAAGCTTGCATGAAGATCAGAGAGTAAAACAACCCCACTTGTCTGCCTTACAGACCAGGCAGTGGAGGCGCACACCTTTTATCCCAGCAGCTACACTAGTTTGCCACAGAAACTGGGCAGTAGTGGTGCACGCCTTTAATCCCAGCCCTAGATAGGAATATAAAGTGGGTGGAGACAGCTCTCACACACAGTCTCATTCTGAGGATTCAGGAGGAGACAGATCGCCATTTTGGACTGAGGTAGAGGTAAGAGCCAGTGACTAGCTGTTTTTCTTTTCTGACCTTCAAATTGAACCCCAATATCTGTCTCTGAGTTTTTATTAGACAGATCACGTCCAGTCTAGGTCTGTGCTAGTCACCCAGACACTAAACATGTGCCCCTCTGCCCAAAAGTAGTTGGGGCTCAGGTCAGTGCTGAGCTGGTGGTGGTAGACAGGCAAGTACCCAGTACAAGGACAGCTCAGTAGGCGGTCTGCCAACAGAGGGAGGCGGGCACAAAGAAAAACCACGGAGCCTGCTGGGAAAATGATTCGGTCAGTAAAAAGCATGAGGACCCACAATGGATGGCCAGGCGTGGTGGCCCATGCTTGTAATCCCAGCACAGGGGAGGTGGAGACAGACGGGTTCCTGAGGTTCCCTGGCCAGCCAGCCAAGATACACACACACAGCCACAAAAGACCTGGGGTACAGCAGGACATTCTGGTCCATTCTAGAATATTCTATATGTTCTTCTTTCGAAAGTTTCTAATGGGCCCTTTCAGGTCTTCAGAACCTACCCAGCACGGTGGCATCTCCCCATTCAAAGGCTAGAATGTTTCCTTCCTACAGGCAAATCCATAGACAACACAGAAGGCGTGGTTCCTACCTGCAGGACATCCGCAAGGTCCTGGCAGATGTTGGCCATGTAGTCTGTTCTCTCAAACAGCCGCTTGCGGTCAAACTCCCACCGTGCCTCCCGACCAGAAGCCTCGATCTTGGCCCGGATGTCGAAGTAGGATTTCTTCCACAGCTTGAGAGTATTTCTGGCCTCCAGGGTTTTGTGCTGGGCGTTCGCTCTGTTTTCTCTGTTAGGCAAAGAGATGCCGGGCTTCGAGCAAAGATGCAGCTGCCCACATCTGAACCACACTCCCCCCAGGGCATTGGTATCTGAGAGGATTTTCCTCCAGGACCTCCCTGGCGCCAAGTCCTCCTCAGGGAATGTTAAAAATTCTTCACGAGCCACTATGATTTGCAAGGGTGCAAAAAAGCCCCCAAGCTGGGTCCAGGCTGTTCCTCCGCAGCCATCCGACCTGGTTCCCAGGAAAGCATGGTCACATGGGCGGGGGGGGGGGGGGGGGGGGGGGGGTGACCTTGGTTCCTGTCCTCACGGTCACCGTGGCAGCCTCGACCTTGGAGCTCAGACCCGGTGTGGAGCTGATCTCACCCACGCGGACCGTGTGGGGAGTGAGAAATGTCTGGGTGCAGCATGGCGGTAGTGCTTGTGTTTAGCTTTGTGAGACGCTGGGTTCGATCCCCACATCACGAACACACAAAATGGCTAAAAATCATCACGTGACAGGCTGCTCCTCCTGAGGGCCCAGGCCTAGGACTGAGCATTCCCTAGCCACTTACCTCAGTTTCTCCAAATGTAAAATCACACGCGTGGCGCTGGAGACGCCACTCAGCTTTGAGAGCGTGTGGCCAGAGTTCAGATCCCATCATGCACTCTGGGCAGCGCACAGTGCGTGTAACTAGAGTTCCAGGGTATCTGATGCCTGCTTCTGGCCTCGGCTGCAGGCCCTGCACACACGTGTGCATACCTTCACACAGACACACACCCATACACGTAAGTAAAATAAAGTAGGTCATCCATGGTGACACACATCTTTAAGGCCAGCACTTGGGAGGCAGTGGCAGATAGATCTCTATATGGAGTTCCAGGCCAGCCAGAGATACGTAATGAGACCCAGTCTCAAACACATACATCATTGTGTGTTACACAATATAATCGTACGTGGAATTGTGTATGACAGTGTGTAAATAAAATACATGTTATATTTTAACAATGAAATGCTATGTGGTCATAAAGAGGAATGAAGTCCAGGTGATGCATTTAGACCATGGATAAAAACCTTGGAGATGTCATGACGAACGAAACACCCCCCAGAAAAGACTTGCTGTTGCATGATCTAGTCTAGGCCTTGGAACTTGGGGAGGGAGGAGGTTTGAAGTGACTTACTAAAAGGTGCCAGGCTTCTTTAGAAGATGAAGAGGATGTCCTTTTAAATATATGTTCTAAAATTGTGTGTGTGGTGCAGTACCCAAGAAGGCCAGGAGGGGGCATCAGATCCCCTGGAGCTCTAATTCCAGGCAGGAGGCTGTAAATTGCCTATGGGTGCTGGAAACTGGACCCAAGTTCTCTGGGAGAACAGCAAATGCTCTTAATCACTGAGCCACCTTCCCAGCCCTATAAAGAAGGCTCTTGAGTCGTGGCTGGAACACGAGAACATTTGAATCTCTGATAATGGTTTTGCAGTGCCGGGGATGAAACCCAGGCCTCCGTGCCCTAGGCACCTGCTCTATGGCTGAGCCCCCCAGCCCTGAACTGCACACAGCCCGGACTCCAGAGGGAGCCCCAGTTGGCCCTGGTGGCTTCTCACTTGAACAGGGTGCGCAGGTTGATGACTCTGCACACGCGCTCAGCGATCTCCCAGGCGATGCGCTCCATGAGCGGGATCATCCTCTCGTCCTTGTTGTAGTGTCTCGAGATGATCCACACCATGCGGAGGGCGCTCATCATGGATGGGATGGTGTCCAGGACCACGTGGAAGTTGGAACCGTGTGTGATATTCTACAAAAGCCAGACCGGGGACAGAAAAGGGGCTTAGCCTCCCTCTCCTCTCCTCTCCTCTCCTCTCCTCTCCTCTCCTCTCCTCTCCTCTCCTCTCCTCTCCTCTC